GATTTAGCTTGTTTTAAAAAAGTTATAACACTTTAAGGTTCTATTAATAGATATTGGATATCTTTTGCTATCCTGTACTGTATGTTGCAGAAACTTGAAATCTTTGCCATCTCCGAGATTGTCAGATCTAAACCTACCTTAAGTGAACATTGAATCTAAGGAGGGTTAATTTTACCAGAAAAAATAACAAAATAGACTCAGTATTTGAAACTTATGACCGAGCGGAGTTGCTTTTTGGAGAAAAAACTAGCATTAGACTTGGGTAATGTAAATACTAATATATTTTATTTTTTAGATCTAGTGGACCGAATAGTATAAAAATGAGCATGTTTCTTCACCTGTAAAATAAGTTAGCAGTAATGTTATTTTTTGCTCATATATAAATTTACTTGTCTACTTACCCATAATTTATTTTTTAAGTAATTTGCTATTTTATTTAATGGAGACTATGAAAACAAATTTTTGCTTACTTTGTTTTTTGTATTTAGATATAAAAAATGAGCAGTAACAAAAAAACCACCACCTCTAAGAACAAGAAAAATAAGACCCAACTATTCTAAATCAAAACAATACAAGCTAAGACAATTTTTATTTTGTAAGTAAATTTTGTGCCGTGCTAGTACATTCGTGCTAAAATATTATTATCAGAGCTAAAATTTTTATTTTACTAAAAATTAGATGATGATACCTGGAGAAAAATATTAAAAAAAAATCTAGAATATAATAGAGACAATAATGATAATGATTGGGTAAATCCTGGTAAATGGGATGATATGTTAGATCAAATGTAAACCCACCAACCTAGTCTATTAAGGGTGCCTCAAAGAGGCATATATTTTTTTATTTTATTTTTTTATTTGTATATCGTCTCAGTAATTTTTTTATGAAATAAAGTGGGGTCTCATAACTTTGCCATCTTTTATTTTAATGTGATCGTGTAAATAGGCTTTACTTATTAACCTATGCTTTTATGGTTACTATTGGGATTGAATTCTGATATTTATTTTATAACAATAGAGACAATAAGTTTTTGTATTGACATAATCACCACTCCTCTATTCGCCCTCTATATGATTTCTTATACAGTCTTACCTCTTTATAATCACACAGTTGGGACTATAGTAATTTTTTTAAAAAAATGTACTTATATAAAGGTTTTTTTATATATATTAAATAGTAATTGGGCTCAAATAGAGTGTGATTATAAAAAGGTTTTTATATGATGTGATTATATAAGAGGCGATTATAAAGAAGAAAGACTGTGTTTTTTTTTTTATGATCTTTATTGCATATAGGACAGAGTACAGATCTATTAAAATCAAAATAATTACTATATTTAAAACTATATTTCAAAGTTAAATAAGGAAATCACTCTAATACTATTTTAATAACATGTTTTTGTTTCTCTTCCGGGTCTTTAGATAGAATAGAAATTGATGATTGAAGTTTGGATGGTGTAGGCTGAACATTTATCTGTAGTACAAATAATGACTTTTTTTCAGCATCCTTTTTGATTTGTGAGGATTCAGGAGTTTCAGACTTTATCCAAGGATTGAGTCCAGTCTCTTCTGTATATGCTCTATATAAGCTTAAATGAATTTTATCTGTCTGAGAACTTGGTAAATCAACTAAATTAGCATGCTATTTGCAATAGTTATTAGTTAATATCTTACTGGAGGTAGTATCAAAAGACATGTTATTGTTTTATATTAATGCAAGTCAATTCAAAATCACATAGCTATCAAGAGCAAAGTGCAAAGTAAAAAATATTACTATCCAAGTTTATGCAATTATTTACTTATGCTATGATCTCAATTTCATACTTCTCACATTTAATAAAATAGGATTCAGCTTCATATCTACCTCTTATACTCTTCTCATCCTTATGACTCGACTTGCATGCTAGACATAACAACTTATCAATAAGTCCATAATAATCAAATTTTTTGCTACTAAATTCTCTATATATATCAGGATACTGGCCTAATATTTTATTATGAAAATAAGCATGGGTATGGGTTAAATTAAATGATGCATTTATCTTTATTTCTAGATTGTTTTCTTGAGATAGCTTCAAACCAGATGAATCGAAAACGTGAGATTCAGTAGATATACTTAACTTGGTCTTGGTATCTGGTAAAGATTTAACTTCCTCAACCATTTTATCTTCTGAATTGCTGGAAGAAGTTGCAGAATGGCTAGAGATCTGGGATGATAGGATAGAGGAAATAAATATAACACTTATCTCAGTTTCTGGTAAAGTTTGTTTAGTCATGTGTATGTTCCAATTTGGAATGAAGATTACTTTTTGATTTTCATTTGACTTAGAAAAATTGCTTATGATATTTTGAATTTGAATATCCTTTAAACTTGAAATAGCACTTGCACTATAAGACACCTGACTAATTTTATCTATTCCTATAACTTCAAACAATATATAAACTCTTTTAGCTCTGAAAGTTATTTTACACAAGTTTACATCAGTAACATCAGGTAAAAGTGTTTTGATTTCATTATATACCAATGTTCTTACAGATTTGTTGTCAATTTTATCCATAGTCCTAATATTTCTAACTCTATCCTTGTATGCTTTATAATAACAGTACCAGAATAAAATCTCCTTTTGTCTAGTCTTCATAGCAATGTTAAATAAATCAGCTATATTTTCTGCTGTAACTTCACTAGATCCTGTTAGAATTGCTTCTATAGAGAATTCAGAAATCTGTATATCAATTACATCATTAGTTCCGTTACTATCATTTTTGATGCAAATGGATAATTCAAACCTCAACCCTTGCTTGACTTTTTGGTTATAGGGAATTTTCTTTGCTTCCGATATGGTTATTTTCTCTGATTTATCGAAAGTTTCAGGTTCCAATTGAATTATTTTTTTGCTATAGGAAATTTCAGTTGTAGAATTTATTTCAGAAGAAATGGTACGTTGAAGCTTCTTTTCTCTATTTCTCTCCCTCATCATATTACTAACTCTTTCCTTTTCTTTACAAATTAGGAAATCATCCATTTCCTTATCTTCTAATGATTTAGACTTTATGCCTATGGATAATACAGTCAAAGATGAATTGGAGACTCGAGACTTAGTCTCTTCAGTAGTATTGTTAGAATTTATTTTAGGAGAAATAGATAATTCCTTAGGAATCGATTCAGTGATCTGCGCATTCTTTTTATCATGATGGTTTTCAATAGTTGATAATGTGGATGATCGATTGGTAATCGCTGATAATTCTGAATGAATAGGAGATTTTGGCACGGATATATCAGTATGAAGTTCTGAAATATTAGGTGTAATTTGTTTCTGTTTAATCTCCTTGATATAATTTTCTAGTTTCTTTACTCTACCCTTAAGTTTAGAATTTTCTATCTGACTTCGCTCCTCATTCTCAGCACTTTCTTTTGCATTCCGTTCTAATTCTACAATTCTAGCTCCAAACCCTTCTTCCTTAGCTGAGAATTCAGCATTCTCCCTTTTAAGTTCAGTATTCTCAGCTATAAGCTTGGAAATCTGTTCTTCTAATGAATCGATTTTAGACTGTGTATTTGCCATTATTTTTATATAAAATGTAACTATTCAAAATAAAATAAAATGTGTACGTTCCAATTTGGAACACAGATCACTTTTGTCAAGAAAAATTTAATCAACCGTAATGTAGCCCGTGATGGGCCATGATCGTACTTTGATTCATATAATTATAGCCGTGATGATGAGCCGTAATAATTACGTGAATGAAATCAAGATTAAAGATATACACAAGTTTTATTAGCGGAGCTTCAGATAAATGCCAAACTATGACTATATTAAAAATACTATATTTTTTCGCAAGAATGAGCGTGAAGTTTATATTACGGGTGCAACGAGATGTGTGTATTAAAATTTTTATTGAACACTAAAAACCATCATTTTTTCACTAATTCCTTAAACTGTGGTGTTCCCAGTGTAGTCCGACACCAATTAGTTACTTCTGCAGAACTATGTGTATCTTCTTTTTTTTTTCTAATATCGTCACGAAATCTTTGTACTTCATACTCATATTTCTCCTGGGTTTTACAATGTTACTGGTTAGTTTTAAAAATAATCATGTCAAAAAAAAAATATCGAAAACATTAATTTAAGCGTACAGCAAATGTGAACAAATTGTCAATGCCATTAATAAATTGTTCACAGGTTTGAAAGGACTTGGGAAGTTCAGTCTCACCAATATCGAACATAATATAGAGTCCTGAAGCAGTCAAAACCATTATATAGCCCGTCCATACTGTCACTACCATGCCATACATATGTGAGTACACAAACAATTTAGAAACAACATGATATGATTATGTAGTGAACACTTACCAATTGTTTGCCACGCGAAAGTCATATGATTCTTTCCTGTCTTCTTAATGAGAATATCAAGGGCATCCTTCATGAAAATGCCTAGTCTGATAAGATCCATGTTGTTTTTCTTTATGTTATTGTTTTTTCCTTCTCCTGTAATCTCTCCAAACATCATTTCGTATTTAGATTTGTTGTTATTTACAACATTGCCGATCATATCTGGTTGCTTTGCTCGTGAAGAATCTAAATTGGCAAGTTTACGGACTTTTGCGCTCATACTGGCAGTGTTTGGCCATATGACTGGATGTATTGAAGTATCATGTAAGAAGGAACGCAATACCGGACTAATGATGTTGACAGTCAGAGTGCCCTCACTGAGAAGGTCTTTCAGTGGCTTAATAGGAATATTTTTCGTTCTGAGATAGATAAAAAGATTATAACCAGTTGAACATATAGGAGATAAAAAATGCCATAAGTTGAACTTACAGCTGTAAAAAGACAAACCGCATCCTTTCGAACTTTTTCTGGTCAATGGGATCATCAAAAGACTTTGTGAATAATTGTTCTAAAGTTTTTTCTGCTTCTTTCGGCCCGAGATCTTCATCAAGTGCAATCTAATACATTAAAAACCACCATATGAAAAAAATTACGATAAGTGACTTTTCGCAAAAATAGTACACTAATACGTTACCTCAATGCATTCTCGAAATATCGCCTTTACGCTTTGTGCGACTTTGTTTTTAATTATATATGTATTGCGCATATGTTTACGAAAATCTACTAGAGTATCACCGGAAAATTGTTCAATCTGCAGATCCGAGAAGTTATCAGCTTGTAATAATAAAATATGAGATAAGCTCCTAATATTTCCAAATAAATATTGTTAGCCTGATAATTCATACAAGAGAATTTATTCTCAAAATTCAAACTTACAATATCTCATGGTAATTTGTCTCGATAGATAAACCCGATTCCCGTGCCATTTGCTGTGCATTTAAACGATATGATGCGAATAGCGCAGATATATTCTTATCTTGAAACATATACTATATATTTCAAAGAAATTTATTAGAAAACATAAAAGCATATTAACTGGTAGAAGAGAAACTCACGGGATTGCCATCATCATTTTCATCAAGCGCAACCGAATCATCCAAAAAAAACTCATCTAGAAAAAGACTCTCTTGATCATCATCCACATATTCATCGTTCCCATCTACAAATTCATCGAACGTAAAATTCTTAGGGTTTCGCTTATCCGGGCTAAAGTCATCACTGTCAGTTTCTTTATCGTCACTTTCACTTCTTGTGGTTGGGGGAACGAAGGAATCTGAATATATTTTATGATCGGGAGTTTTCCGTAACTCTTCGTGATCATCCTAAAGCATTAAAGTACAAAATATAATTGATTTACGATTCTCAATATCTAGCTAATAAAAGCAACGCATTTGTACCTTATTTGTTCCTAAAGTTATATTATTACCCATGATTTGGTTCGCGTGATTTCCAGCGAACTGCTTGATCTTTTTTACTTGCAAACTCCCAATATTCACGCCATTGGAACGCTTCAGGTTTTTCTTCTGTTTAGACCATTTCTTAAAAAACAGAATTAACAACAATACTTGCAAGAAAAAATTTCTTAAAAATAAAAGAAGTGTCAAACTAAGAGCTATCCTTTAGACCAAGAGTCCCAGTTTGCACTAAGCGTCGAACCAAGAATTCATCACTGAAGACCAAGAGTCTCAGCTTGCGCTAAGCGTCGAACCAAGAGTTCATTACTGTTGGACTAAGCAATTAGTTCATTCAAATATCTATTTTACTAATGATCATACCTTCCAATCGTCAAGGATTTCCCGAGCTTTTCTTTTGCGCGTCATCTCAAATTCAGAATCATCATCTGCTACTTTCTGAAGGTCCTTTTTTATATGATCCATTATCTTAATCAGATTTTTTTGCCCCGATTTCGCATGATAATATTCTACCATATTAATGCACACCCAGTCCTCGATCGCGGTGTCATTGTAAAAAGCCTTGAGTATTGGTTGTGTATTCATGATTACAAAGAAAAAAAAATGGTGGAAAAAGTGGAAAAAGAAAATTATAAACGCGTGATGGAGATCTAACGTATGTGACCGGGTATGATAAACTTACAAAAATTTTTATCAAACAATGATTGAAATCACATGACCAAAATTTTAGCGACGACCCGTCGTCAAAATCGCTTAGTATAAGTCACATCACAAAATTTATGTGCCATGAGCTAATTGACTAAAATTGTATTAGAGTACTTCAGTACTTATTTCGGAAAAATGGCACTTCTCACAAATTTTATCATTATCTAAAAAATTTTGGTAGCAGTATAAGCCAGCTAAATCTGAAAAAAGATGATATCCCAAGGTATAATTATTATAGAAAGATATATAATATATAAAATTATGCTTTGGGATTACATATAAATAGGTATCGAAAAAAAGTGATACCCCAAGGTATAATTATTACAGAAAGATATATAATATATAAAATTATGCTTTGGGGTATCACTTTTTTTTCGATACCTATTCAGCACTACATGCCCCACCATCATTCGAATGACAAACGATTCATGATTGCGTCGTCATTCATGGAATCTAGAAGTATCGAAAAAAAGTGATACCCCAAAGTAAAATTATTATAGAAAGATATATATTATAAAAATTATGCTTTGGGGTATCACTTTTTTTTCGATACCTATTCAGCACTACATGCCTCATCATCAGATACTTTGGTGTATTAACCTAAATTGGGGAATACCAAAATGTGATGTCAGCCCTATAAAAAATGAACTCCGGAATATGTCTATTATATTTCCATAAATTTGACTATAGCTCCTTAAAATTCCCGTATATTTATAAAGAACAGCAACTAGACAAGTACCCTATCCGGATTTTTTCCATAATATTATTTATTAATAATTTATAGAATGTTCTCTTGCACTTAAATATGGAAATAAAACGGAATATACTTAGAATATTTTTTGCAGAATTTTTTATAAGCAAAATTTTTTATACTTAGATACGGAATTAAAATGGAATATATATTAATGTAAAATTTATTTCTCTATCATAAGAAAAAAAAGCTAATATAATGAAAATAATATGGAAATTATCAAAAAAAAAAATATCAGATAAGTTTAAGCATTTTTCCTTTTGTTTAATATAAGCTAACGAAACTTGACTTGATTTTCTTTATCGATAATATATATTTCATTGTTAGACAATTTCAGAAATCCAACATTTCTATCAATGGCATTAACATTAATTACTTCAAATGAGCCAAGGTCACGGAATTTTAATACCCCATGTTTAGAAAGATAGGGGTTGCGAACCCACTGTACATATGCTAACATTGACCATTGATCATCATATTGGTGCGAAAAAAAATAACACACTTCGCCAAAAAATTCTTGCATTTCTAAGACAATTGGTGCATTTTTATAATGAGCATTACGGTCAACTAAAAGCTTGGCCTAAAACAGTAATGCTATATATTAATCGTAATATTAAAAAATATCTCAAATAAAAATAAAATATAGTTAAACCTTCATAAGTGCACCCTTTCAAATATATAAATT